TTGAATTAAAATAGTACCAATGCAATACGTCCGTACACTAACCTAAACAACGACACCGGGACGGTTTAGAGGATTGAATAAACTTACTTTTCCGAAGCCAAACTTTGCAGAAGCACTTTTTGACAAAAGATTGTTATGCCGGTCTGGTATGGACCCAATTTTTCTTTACAAATTCTACAAAACTTGAATTATGATCACACATCCACTTGCGACAAAACACAGCATGGCCGCCGGCGTTCTGCTTTGTTTAGGGACGGCGCTACGCCACGCCACCTCCCCAGGGCTTCCTTCTTTTTGTCCCTCTTATCGGGCAACTTCCTCATTTCACTTGATTTCAATTTCTGCACGCGAGGAGCAAGGAGGAAATCAGTTCGCCAATTTCATTCAAATCACAATTTGCTTTTTTATTGTTGACAGTCTTACAATGAATAAGTCGATTTGTCGGAAACAGCAACTCTAACGGGGAGTTAAAAAAAAGTCTTCGGAGTAGTTGTCTATTGTCTAAGTCGCAGCTGGGGCGTCGCACTTTCGTTCTCTTATTTCACCGAGATCATCAGCTTGAAATTTCACTCAAGATTACTCTTGTTACAATCACAGTTGGTTTGAAGTGTCATATTGTCTTTGTTCGGTCGGGGGCGCTCGCACTAGCCGTTGAAGGTCGTCGCGTTGCGGCTGGCAGGGGCTTCGACGCGGTCTCCCTGGAACTTGATGACGACGTCCTGGATGAACATGTTCCTGGTCAGGAAGGAGCGCAGCTGGTCGACGCCCTGGCGAGCACTGCGGTCGAAGGGGAAGCCCATGGGCCGGAGGTCGGGGTAGCGCTGGCCTCGGACGCCGCAGTACGACGACGCGTCGTTGCACATGCCCTCTAGGGGCTGGTCGACCTGAAGCAGCACACAGCGCAGAGTTTAGAAAATCAATTTCGCGTCACGAGCTGGTTAAAAACAAATGCAGGGTAAAAGGATGAGGAAGAAGTGCTCACCTTGTCCTGCGAGTAGTCCGTGATCATGACGAAGAGCTGCGCCTGCAGCCCCTGCGGGGATCCCCTGGGGATGAGCATGTGCTGGGGCCAGCCGCAGCCGCAGAAGTTGAACTGCTCGAGCTGGTCGCCGGCGCCGGGCCTGTTCTGGTCCAGGTTGCGGAACGTGCGCTCGAACGGGATGGTGACGGAGGACATGGTGGAGCGGCGCTCGATCGTGTTGGTGCGCTGGCTCACTGTCGGGCAACACGGTGTCAGAGACAAAGTACAAACGGGGACAAACCCTACAGTAGTGTATGAAGTTTGTTGTACTTACGGTTGATGGGGAACTTGTCGAGCTCCACCATGAAGGTGCGCTGGTCCCTGAAGAGCATGGGGGTGCCGCGCTCGTCGAACTTGGGGCCGAGGAAGATGCGGACGTAGCCCATGCGCTGGCCGGGCGCGTTGTTCTCCACGGTGATCTTGTAGGTGAAGGGGCGGTGCTGCAGGTGGGTGAAGCGGGCGAAGACGGGCCCGCGGGGCGTGAAGTCGAGGCCGCGCGACAGGTCCATGTCGTTCTGCTGCAGGAAGGTGAAGAACTCGTTGGGGCGGCGCGCGCCGGGCGTGTTCACCTCCAGGCCCTTGACCTGCACGCCGGGGAAGTCGAGCTGCTGCTGCGTGTAGGCCGGCAGCGTGCGCTTGTGCTCCTGGAAGATGTCGTCCACGAAGGCGTGCCAGCGGTAGAACACGGGGTCGCGCATGGCCGTGGTGGAGTCGCCCATCACGCCGAAGGACTCGAGGTGGCGGTTGTCCGGGTCGTGGGAGAAGGCGATGGCGATGTGGCCGAAGTTGTGCATGTCTCCGTAGAGCGCGCGGTTGGGCGAGATGATGCTGGACTCGATGATGTTGCCCAGGACGTCCACGCCGCCGAACTCGGTCAGGTTCTGCCGCCTGCCCTGGTCCGTGGTGACGGCGCCGCTGTGGATGGCCTCGTAGATGCGGTCGCGCCAACGCTCGATGTCCTGCAGATCGAACTTGATCTGGTCTCCGTCACGGGAGATGTCCTGTTGCGGCAGGGAAAGTGCGGCGTTAAGACTTCACAAAACCTAGGGATGTTGGCGAGTACATTGTACAAAGACACGTGGTACTCACGGAAAGGCGGGTGTTGGACGCACGGGCGGGCCAGACGCGAGAGGACACCAGGCTGTCGAGCTTGGGGAAGTAGCCCTCGGCGATAGGCTCGCGCAGGTCGATGAGGCGCTTGACGCGCTGCAGGCCGTTGCTGAAGCGCTCCATGTTGTACCTGGCCAGCACCTGCTGGTGCATGTAGTAGAACAGCTCTCCGCGCCGGTCCTTCCTGACGATCTCGATGGGTGCGTCGAAGGGGTACACCAGGTGCCAGTGCCAGTGGTGGAGGTTGATGCCGAGGTCCTCGCGGAAGTAGGCCACCTTGTGCTCCTCCTCCAGGTCGGAGGCCGTGTAGTCCTTGGGGATGATGATGGGCAGTCGCTGCTGCGGGTCCAGGACGGTGTTGGTCTCCTCCCTGGCGCGGGCGAACAGGTCGCCGTTGACGTACTTCTCGGGGAAGAGCTCGGCGAGCGGAGGCAGGTGCGCGTTCCGGGTGTCGTCACGATGCAGCAGCGCCACGGAGTAGGCGTACACAAACAGATAGGGGTTGAGGTGGCTGCGGGCGTACACGGCGGCCGACAGGAAGTCGTCCAGGTTGCGCATGCCTGTGCGGAGAACAGAACGGTGAGTGTGGTGAGCACAGAGTCAACGAAACATGGTCGCTCCGAACGCCTGCAATCAGAAGGGTAGGCAGCTGCCGGCCGTGACGACGGCCGAGTCAAATAGGTTGCCTACCCACTGGAGGGCAGGAGCGCGTGGTGCCCGGGCACTACCGGCGCGGCGCCTGGCGCGGCGCTTACCCATGAAGATGTTGATCAGCCTGCTGGCGAGCTTGCGGTGCTCCGGCAGGAACAGCGAGAACTGCGCGCGCCGGTCCAGCTGGCCGGGGATGCTGAGGTCCGGCAGGGTGATCTTGCGGACGGAGATGCGCTCGGCCTTCTCGCCGAAACGGTTGATGACCTGCGTGCTCAGCTTCTTCTGGCGGTCGGTCTGCGAGGGGGAGAAGGGGGAAGGGGGGTGAGTTAGGGCGTTCACTCAAACTGAGAGGAAATGAAATGCTTCTCGCTGCACTCACCAGGTACTCCCTGGGGACGTCGAAGACGACCTTCTTGTCTCCCCTGTCGCTCTCCTTGGGCAGGAAGATCGGCTCCGAAGGCCGGTCGAAGAGGTACTGCAGCTGAGCGACATTGGCCTGCGCCTCGGTGCTGGGCACCACCAGCGCCAGGCTGGCCAGCACGGCCACGCTCCTGGGGGAGGACAAGAGTGGAAAGCAGTTAGTACGGCACGGTAGCAGCGAAGTTGAGTCGTCGTCGGGCGGATTTAGTTGCTAGGCCCCTCGCTCCAGCCACGCCCCTTCCCGGTACGCCTCGCGCCACGAAGATGAACGACCCGTGTTTGAGTTAGTCGTCCCTGTCCGGCGCGGTGCGTGTGTTTTGGAGCAGGTTGAGCTTCGGACGGGCACAGACGAGTTACTCTGTTCGGCCGGGCACAAGGCGTCCGTGACCTTGACAGTGACGGTCAGCAACGACCGTGGCCAGACTTGTTGATGCTGAGATCGTTATTTTGTATTGTATGGGATGGGCTGGCCGAAAAAGTAATGTGGCAAAGAGGTCGTGAGCATACATAGGCTGGTTTCCAGACGAGTTGAAACGTCTATACCCACCCTCATGGTGGGTCATTTTAGCGATACACGACTGACCACGAGCGGAATTCCCAGCTCCCCTCCCCGAAAGCCGAATTTCCTCCTGTGCAGGAAAGCACTCCGCGACTCCACGGACTTCCCTCTGTCGCGCGGTCGGCGGGGCGGGGCGGGCCGGCGGGCCGGGCTCGGAAGAGCTTCGAGTCCAGGACCGGCGGGCGCATCAGAGAGGATTTGAACCTGAACTCATATGGATATGTGTTTTTTGCCCTCGGCTCGGCCGTCGCCACGGCCGCGTCCGAACCCAAGGCCAGAGGTAAAGCCGGCAGACCAGCTCTGACGTCAGAGCCACCGCCAACCAGTTCTCGGGCCTGACGGGCCTGACACCCGCGGGGAGAGTTGCGGTCAGAGGACGCCAAACCTCGGGAAGGGGATGCAGGGCAGGGCGTCTCGGATACCCATACCATCCCTAACGGAGGGAAGGTGGTGAAAGGCTGAGGGGATTTCACACACAGGTCGAACTACGTGTTCCAGGAGCTCGTGGCGCCCTCCACACTCCAGGTCTCCATTCCGCTGGAGTAACCCTTTGGGACGATTTAATCGACCGGCGCGGAGCTAAATCGACGCTAAAAAGCTACAGATTACACTCCTTCTGAGGCGAGGTGTAGGTAACCGTGGGCCATACACGGGGATCGGGTATGGTTGGTACTTTACCTATAATGAGAGTCCAAGTCTCATCATCCCACTCGGGCGCTTCTGATCGAAACGGACACCAACTATCAACTTTTATCGGTCGTCCGATTTCGAGGAACAACCGCATTATGAATGCAAACAAACACGCGGCCGCAGGTCGGGACTTCCCTGGCGTCGTCGGGTGCCTCACCTCGCCCCTCGCCGCCGCGGAGCCTCGCGGTGGTGTGTGTCTGTTTTCTTTTTTATGACAAGTTTATAGGAATATGGGAATGGCTGCCGCGGCGTTGTTGACGCGACTTATCAATTCCGCCCCCTACTCTCTAGCGTCTCAGCTTCAGTTCGACCCTCGTCGCTGTGGCGAGCAATAAAAGCGATTCCGGTCTGAACGAAAAGAACTCCGTCGTTTATTGCACTAACTGCGCGTACGATTTCCGCAGAGTGGAGGACGCATGACACGCTGATCGTGCGTGTGCGCAAATATGTCGTGTGCGTGCGTGCGGGTGTGTGCGTGGGTTGGTGCGTTTGTGCCTCCAGCCGGCTCCAGCCGGGGCGACCCCTATCTCACGCCCAAGGCGCCCGCGCTCCAACTCCCGCGCAGCCTCCGGCCTGAGGAAACATACCCCAACTCAATAAGTGGCGGCCGATAATTGCACTAATAGTGACGAGCAGCGTATCGGAGTGACGTGACGTCACGGCGACACGGGTGGTGTGTGTAGGAACGACCGGGGACGACCGCCAAGTCCGCAGTCGCGGCGCGCGACGGGTCGGTCACGTGAGCTCGTGACGTCTTCGCTCCAGGGGATACACCGACGAGCGCGACGCGACGGGGTTTTCGGAGTTGTTTGCCAGACACGATACACGATACTCAGGAGGTCAACACTCAACACGGCAGATGATTGATAATCAATTCCGACACGAGCGAGAGAGCCACTTACGCAGCGGCAAAACGAACATTGAGAGGCTTAACATCGACGATACTTTTGATAGCCGTTCCGCGCAAAATAAATAGTGTCCAGTGAGAAATCAAAATCGGTGCGATATCGAATCGATATCAAAACGGCATCATTTTTTTAGAAATTTATCGATTCCAGGAAAACGTTGGGTTTGATTCAACACGAAAATCGATAATCTTCCGAAATCGATATCGTTTTGATGTCACAAAATCACTGCGTGCAGCACGTGTCGGGAGCGCAGTGCGCCCGGCTGCCCCCCCTGCCCGAGAGGTCACGACACGGCCACTACAATCAATCATCGTCCCGGTCGCGTTGTGTTACCGCGATGCTATTCGCGTCTTATCGCGAGACCAGTGCAAGCAGCAGTGCCGGCGGCGTCAGAGACTTGGCTCCTCTTTTTGTTTTGATAGAGACGTCTTCGATGTTTGGCGAAGTGCATGCATGATGATCTGTCGTACAAATCAGTCGATCATATAGGGGTATGCGGGGGAGAAATTTTTCCGACGATATCGTTTCGACGTTGTTAGCGATATGAAAGTAGGCCTGAAATCGACAGCTTTTCGACAGACGATGTCGTTTCGGTATCGACTGTCAATTTCAGGCCCCCTCCTTGCATCGCTAACGACGTGAAAACCGACGAACTATGGGCCGGAAGGGTTTCGTGTGCAACCCGAGAGCAGACCAACTCTATGGGGGACTAAAGGTTGAGTTCAGAGTTTTAGAACGACGGTCCCAGTACTTTAGTCAAAGAACTGTAAAATGATCCTGCCAGGCTGTAAAGGATTAATTCCCTTCTCAATTTTAAGGAGTTTTAAAGATAACTTAAATCTTTGCCACTTCTGAAATGTTCCAAGCCCTTCCTTAGTTTTTTCCTGTATTTGCGAATTCTGCGAAGGGAAGTCTGAGGATACCGCTCTACTTACAGGCAGGCGATGGCGTGCATGTTGAGTGGTGGTTGGGCTCTTCTGCGGAGAGTCCGGCGGGGGTGGACGCGTCTGCCCCTGTGTGGTGGTGGGTGGTGGGAGCTCTCGGGGCAAGGGCAGACCTCGCCGCTGGACGGGCGAAGGCTGACTGAAGAGCCCCGCGGGAGGAGGAGAGCGAGGAGGAGTCGCGGCGTGGCGGAGCGCGGCGGCAGTGGACCAGTGGCCGCCGGCCCCGGCCCCGGCCCGCGCCCCCGCGCCCCGGCAACGCCAAACAAGCCCTCCCCTCGGTACACGGTCGGAGCTTTGGTCGGAATAACCAGCGGCGAGCTAATACTCCAAACCCACAATGTCGCCACACCTACGTGCGGGTACCAGAGGGAGCGAAGCAATAAGGGCCCAAGTGTAGGGCCTCCGTGAAGGCATGTTTTACACCTGCGGGTAATTATTGCGGCGGCCGCAATGTCTCTTTTATGACATAGAACGTCTCGCTTTCTTCGAAGTTACTTTCGATTGCTTTAGTTTGTATTTCAACCCCGTTAGTTCTCCCCACTGCCCCCCCCCCCCCTTTTCCACAAAAGTGATGGAGCAGGTCGTTGGGTGGGATCGGTGGGATACTGTAGCACTTTAAAAAAAAAATGTTTGCTGATGGATCACATGTCGTCATAAATGTGGTAGGCTTAAAAATATAAAAGGATATCACAAGAAAGTCAGGGTGCTCCTGGAACTCAGACCCTGGGAATTCCCTCGCGTGAAATTCCCGCTATCTTTCAACTTCATTTCCCGCAACTAATTATGCACCGTGCATCAAAAAAGTAAAAATCTATTCGTACCCGAAGGCAAGTAAATATAGTTTCACAGAATCGGGCGATAGCGAGGCCCTGGGGCTTCCCCAAGCTGGCTGCCAACCCCTGCCCGAGCCCAGAGCCCGCCAGACTCACAGCACGTCCAGGGCACACTGCTCGAGTGGCGACTTGTTTTCACCTCATGAAGCGAGGTGGAGCAATAAGAGGCTTCCCCTTGTGAGCATCCAAAGCATTATGTACGTATGTACCCCGTTCCCTTCTCCGGCCGCAGAGAGATAAAGATAGGCGCGCTGGACCCAACCACGCCCCGCCCGCTCACCCCGCCCCGGCTAAGCCCCGACGCGACGGGTCTGCCCGGCCGGCACAGGCCGTCAAACCCGCTCTGGCAAAGAGCCCAGGGCTCAGGCTGCCCAGGTCCAGGGCGTCCATCGCGTCGCTGACGTCAGGGGACTGCACCAGGCTGCGTCAGCAGAGGCGGCACAGGCCTACAGAGCGCAAATACCCCGCCACTCCCCGGCCCCGCCCTCACCCCCGACACCTGGTCGACCGGCTCCCCTCATCCCTTCGGACCGGACCGGACCGCGGCAACCGGCGACACAACCTGGGAGATGACCCAATAGTAAAACCACACAAACCACAGAAATGTGTAAGGTGAAATCTGTCGTATATTTTAGTGCCATTTCGTACTCTATCTGAAGTACAAAATAATATCACAATGTATTATTGTTATCACACTGATTGGTGCTTCTATAGAGTATAGAAAATAGTATACCCCCAGTTAATCTTGTTCCAGTCCAAACTCCTTGTCAAACTCTTTTTCAGATATCTGAAACATAAATAAATAAAAAAGTTAGTGATGTGTGATACAAAATGACCCGACTCATTTCTAGTTAATTGTAACTTTATAAAAAGGTCACGAACTTTTTTCTTTTTAAGTTTCTTCATTAGAGCAATATCATCAGCAATGTCCTTAATATCTTCAGCACAGATTCCCCTTTTCCTCTTCTTTGTAGGAGCTACTCCTTGCGCCTTCAACTCTTCCTTCTTTTTCTTCCTAAGATTTTTCTTTTCTTTTCGTTCTTCTTTGCGAGCTTTGGACTGAGCCCATGGCTCTGACTTTTTCTGACTCATTTTTGCATTCTTCTTAGATGGCCACACTCCAGTTTCTCTGTAGGAAGTAAGTTTACCCTGTCTTGCAGCTTCTCGCTGTTTGTCTTTGAATGCTATGGTATTGAAATCAATGACATCTGGGACAAAGCCTGAGGTGTCAGCCTTTCTAAGTTCTGGCATCTTTGGCAGTTGAAGTAATCCAAAACCAGTTGCCAATAAGCCTAAGTTAACATCTTAAGAAAGGAAAAAAAGAAAGTAGTAAAAAATGAAGTACATAACAATAGGAATTGCATCCAATTCAGGTAGTAATTTACCTTTCAGACGAAGAAGTATATTACATTCATGTTTACTATATGCCTGTACATATGAAACAAAGGCTTTCTGAGCCTTTTCTAGATTTGCTCTGTCTGTTTTCTGCAGGTGGCGGGCAACGTTTAGTATCTCATTAGAGTCAGCGAGGGGAACTTCTTTTTCATGAAGAGTAACCTGAAAAAGTCTCAACATTATTACCAATGACCACTGGCATGGGAGAGAATCAGGATATATTTCACATCTATACCTTTTGGTTTTTTTGAATAAAAGTTACATAGGAATCTTCATTGGGCATTAAAAATATTATAGCAGATCCAGATAGTCCAGAACGAGCAGTACGTCCACATCTATGAACAAATGCAGATGCAGACTTGGGCACATCACACTGAAGTACCCATTTCACAGCAGGAATATCTACCCCTCTAGCCATAACATCAGTGCACACTAAAACACCTAAAGAGATATGTAAGACAATTAGTGAAAAAAACATGAACACTAATACTGAAGATTGCATAAGTATCATTTACCTTTATCTGCAGCTCTAAATTTGTCAAAAACTTTGAAACGAGCATCCTTCATCTTCCCATGTATACAAAATACGGGAAGGTTTTTCAGTACACTGAAATAAAAGGAAAAAACAACAACAACAAGATTTAAATTACTGTAAAAGAGGTAAGAGATAACAAAAGATAGATAAAGAAAGAGGTCAATTACAGTACCTTGACAGAACTGTAGAGAAATAATTAACACATGCAATGGTTGCAAAAAAAATCATGTATTTTCCTGGCTTGTCTGGATTTTGAGAGGATTCAGAAGAAAGGAAACCTACTATGGCAGCTAACTTATTTTCTGGCTCTATAATTGCATAATGATTGCTAAGGCTAGCAGGTGTTGACACTTCTTCACTGGAAAATACAAGGGAAATAGGTAATTAATCAGTTTGAAATCCATTTATACCATACTACACAGACTACAACTTACTTGCTCCCTGCCTTTTCTCGAACTGTTACTTGAACTGGATTTCGCATTCCAGCACGCATCAGGAGCTCTATTTCTTTTGTTTGAGTAGCAGAAAAAAGACCTGTTCTCCTTTGACGAGGTAGGTGTGCCAAGATAGTATTCAAAGTACGTTCAAAACCCAAGTCTAGTAGTCGATCTGCTTCATCTAAGACTAGAAGCTCCTGAATAAATCCAAATTTGTATTTTAATTTATTTTTTAGCTTTGTTGAAAGAATTATGTTTATTGTAAATATTTATAACATAGAAGTTAGAAATTTATAAGCACTTACCAAGGATTTTAATGCTGGTTTGAGACATACATCAGTGTGATGTTCGAGAATATCTTCTAATCTACCAGGAGTCGCTATTAATATATTTGCTCCTTTATCCCTCAGGAGGGCTATATCAGCTTCAACAGAGTTTCCACCAAGCAGAAGCAATGCCTGCAGTTTGTGATTGGGTTTCATTTTATTGTGTGTTTCTAGGAAAGGTGTCAAAACCTCGTATATCTGGCTAGCCAGCTCGCGAGTAGGTGAAATAACAACAACTCCAACTTCAAGAGGTTTCCATTTTTCTTCTCGACGCTGGAAAAAACAAAAACAGTTATATCCTTATTAAAGATTATAAAACCAAAAATCAAAATGACTGTAGAAAAAAATAAGTAGATGGGGCACCATTAGAAGTTCCATAGCAGGTATGATGAATGCAAGTGTTTTTCCACTCCCTGTTACGGCTTCTGCAGCAACATCCTTGTTGGAGAGTAGTAAGGGAATGCAAGCGGCCTGCAAATGCAAATGGGACAAATTAAATATGACTGTGATTCCATAAAATTCTCGAAATACTAGAAATATGTAATCATTCAAGATTAAAAACTAAACTAAAAATGATAAATGTTGAAGCTATTAAGCATGCTTTCTGAGGTTATGTTTTATTTGAATCCAGTGGGAATCTTAAATATTTACCTGTACTGGTGTCATGGTCTTAAAACCAAACTTAGCTATAGTATTCAAGCATATTTTGCTGATTTTAAATTTGCATTCTTCCCATTTAACCTTCATTTTGAGGAATTAATTGCCGAGGCACATAAACACATGCGCCCTACAAGAGTGGAAAATAAACAGACAGGCTGAAGCAGACGAGTTTTTATCCAGGTTCTCCAATTGATAGCAATTTTCATGACATAAGCATTTAAGACGGAATAGGCAGTTGTATCCTTCAGTATACGAAAAAATTATTTCTTAACTTTTTGCTTTGCATTGAAAGGCATAATAATAATAATTTCAAAAGGAGCGGAGCACAAAATGGGAAGGCTCTCTACAATGTGTGAGTTGGTCATTGTGATCAACAGAAACAAAACACTATTGCAGAGTAAACAAATAATAACTAGGCAGAGTTCCAGCTCAAGGCTGAGCTCAGGTTTCCCACGCAATATGTTTTTATAAGATTTATATTTGTTTCATGGTGTGTCTTACACCAAATAAGCAGGGCGGGTTGCGGTTGAGGCGGCGATATCTGCCTTTAGAGCCCTAAATCATGGAAACTCGTTATGTGACCCATACCGACCTCATTAAGATAACTGTTTTAAGTGAATAACTCGGCGAAACTCAGTGGTTTGTGGTTCAGGTGACCGTATCTGCCTTAGAGCCTGAACTTATTTAAAAGTCAAAATTCGGTTCAATTATTTGAGCAAATTTAGGTTAGGAGAGTAAGTTATATAGAGGGCATATAGCATTTACACTTTGACATACTTTTTTAGATCATAATTTCTAATGACATACACCTCTCTTTCATCTCGAAGATCAAGAGACAAAGAAAAACTTCTCCGTTTTCTTCTCAAAGATCAACAAAACATGCCGCAATGTTGTCTGCTAAAAACAAGTGCACCAACATTCCCCGTAGAAGTTCCACTTCATGACAACTGTTGTAATATTTCAAAAGATCTTTGTTTTAGACTCAGAATTAACTCCCTATTGCTCAAAACATTAAGTCCTTGCAAATTTCGTACTTTATATCCACCGCACGTTTTGATCTCATAGCAGTTCTGACAACATCCCTGTCTGTCAAGTTGGCCAAACTGGGGTTGCGGCCTCGATCGGGATCGCGACCATCGAGTGTCAACCCAGCCTGGAAAAAGGTGGCATCGCTAAGTCTAAGTTTAGGTAGCGGTAAAGATTCCGTTCGCTCAGCCAACAAACCATTTCAAACGAGACGCGAGAGGAAAACGCCAAGTAGGGCTGAAATTAGTTAATACTTAATCGTGTCAGAATTTCAGTCCTTTCGGTGCAGTGAGCCGTTACCCTACTTATTTTGACTTTCTATAAAATCTGGGTCTTGCCAAATAACTTGCTAAATAACGTCGTGCGCGTGTTAGTTCTCTGTAACCTCTGACAGCAGATTTGAGACGATGTCGTCAAGTACGAGATTTAGAGGTCGCAAGCTTCAGGAATTTAATGTTCAAAGACGCCTTCATCAATGGGAAAGTGCAGAACAAAATGCAGCTAACTATGGCTATTTCCAAAAAGTAAATTTCATGACCAACCAGCATCAGATGTGGGAGAAGTTTGACCCATCAAGGTAGTATGAGTTAAAATTATCCTTGTGGAAATTTTGTGTTTGCAAGTTATGCACTTCTTCTTTTACAAGATTTTTCTCCCCGATACCCGATTTTGACCTTTTGTTCAACGTACAGTTCAAGACTAACAAAGCTGAAAGAGGAGGAACGACGTAGAAAATTGGCCCTAAGACGTGAGAAACTGGCCAACATTCTCCATGAAGAAAATGAGAAGTACAGGAAAGAACTACAAGTACGTACTTTCGCCCACCATGATGACATTTGGTTTCTTTATACAGTTTTCTATTATTATTTTTTTCCTCTTCAGGAATTTGACGTGTACAGAAGGTCCAACAATAACTATGAAATTGGGACTCTACGTCAGATTAATGGAGAGTTAAAGAGACGTGAAGAGGAAAAGCGGGCTCGTGAAGCAGAGCTACGTTTATATCATCGTTGGCGAAATGATCAACCCCTTCTGAAACATGTGAAACTAGCAGTTTTAATCTCTGGTAATAGCATGTTGTTCTTGGATACAGATTTATTTGGACTAAACTTTTTTCTAGATGGCTGATCGAAATCAATCAGCATTTGTTCGCCAGGCTTGGGTTGACCAAGTTGAAGAAAGACTAGCTCACGAGAAAAAGCAGGCTGAGGAAGAAAAAATTCTTGATGAAAAACGACAGTCTCGTCTAGCTTTGCAGGAGCGAGCTGAACGTGCTTTTCTTGATGAAAGAAATGCTCACCTCACACAAGTCAAGCATGCACTCCAATGCCAATTAGATATTTTAATGTGAGGAAAATTAACTGGAAAGTTTGAATTCCAACAAAATAGAACTTTGATAAATCAAGACAACCATTTAAATATTTTTCAGGAAAAAAGAGGAACTTGCAAAGGAATTAAAACAACAAGAAGAGCTCATGTTACGAAGAGAAAAAGAGCTTGAAGAATTGTCTGAGCGACGTAAACAAGCCCAAACTAAGCGAGGAGGCCTTGAACTGGGGTAGGACATTCTCTTAGAGTTGATCTGAAGCTGTTCAGTATTCTGTTATTCTTTTACTCCTGTTTTTTCTGCTTTTCAGTATGTACTTCCAAGAACATTACAATCTTAAGCTGAAACGCAGAGCTCGAGAAATTCGTGATGCATTGGAGGAAGATCAGAAGATCTTGAAAGAAGCTGAATCACGCCTGGCTGATCCAAATTTGGAAGAAGATGATAGAAGGGAGGCACGAAAACACATTGATCGTGCTAATGCTATCCTCGCCTCTTATGCTGAGGTGGAAAAGCTCATAGAAAAGGACACAAGGGTGATGTTCCAGTAAGTGAATAGGAAACAAGTAAAACTTTTTCTGTTGACCCATTGAAGTAAGAAATATCATAGTAATTAAATTTATGCTGCTTTTTATTTGTCAACCTATTGTTTACTTACAGGGAGGAAGCGCGTTTCTTTTGGGATAAGCAAGAAAAGCGTTGGAAAGAAGAGCAAGAAGCACGGAGCAGACTAATGGCAGATACACTAGCAACCCTTCAATTGCAGGTATGTAATGTGTAATATGTAAACCAGTTGGCATTTTTTTTCTTCATTGTAGAAAGCATGTTATCCAAGTTTTTTCTTTTCTTTTTTTTTCCATGCAGATACAAGAAAGAGCTCATCAAAATCGTTTAGCTCAGGAGAATCTTCTGAAAGAAAGAGAGGGACTTGTGAGACAGATAGAAAATGGAAATACTGAGATGGAGAGACTTGAGGCTGAATTATTGTCAAAGAGAAATTTGAAGGATATGTTAGAAGCTCAGGTACATATTTTTGAGCTTGCTTTCTTTTACTTGTTTTGATCAGTTGGTTTATGGTTTGGTGATAATGTGATTTATTTGCTTCCCAAACATATTAAGAGTGAAGATCAAGCCCTAGCTCGCCTGAATCAAATCAGGCAGCAGGAGAAAGAACGTCAAATTCGTCTGGAGGAGATGAAAAAAGAAGAAGAAAGATTGCTTCAAGAATTCAAACGTTTAAACACACAATATCCTAAACATCCACTTGTGAGTATATTCTATCTAAAACAAGTTGATCTTATAAATCTTTTTATAATTTATTCTGGTCCCTCTCTCCCTGTTTTGCAGGCATTTGGAAGAAAATCATTTATTCCATGTTAGACTAAGCATGTTTGTTACATTATAATGGTTATCATCATCATCATCCCTGTTTGTTTTTCTTGAGTTTGAAGACCTCTTCACATTTAACGTGGGAAAATGTATTAGATATTGAGAAAACCTGTAAAGTATTTCAATACTCTTTTTAAATATGTGAAACTGTCTCAGATTACTGTGATATGTATCAGTCATAATTTTTTCTTGTAGAATACCTACTAAATGATGTCTCAAAACTATGTATATTAGAAAGAAGATATTCAAATTTATTTTGATATGGCCGGTAGTTTTATGGTGACTGTGGAACAGATCTCCCCCTTGTGAGAAATAAATTTCTTGTAAATGTTGAAACAATTATTGTTTGAACATTGACAATAAACTCATTTCTCACTGGGTCCATTCCACACCCACAGAAAATAGGTGGGAGAGCTCCTTCCCGAATTATTTTTTAATATCATGCAGCAATAAAGGACCAGCATCTGTCTGAATTTCTCTTTTGATCTTTTGATTTACCCTAAAGGCTGCTTCTCAGTATAGTCTTATTGGCCACTCAGCAACTAAGCATATAAACTCACCAATTGGGGTGCAAATTATATTTTATTCAGCTACTCTCACCACTAAAATTTGATTGTTGAGGGGGCCAAATTCACACCACTTTCTTTCACATCGTGCTGACTTTTAACTCTCGTGTATCTTGAGAGAAATTATGTAAATCAATAGAATTTGTTCCCTGTATTTTACTAATCGTTTATTTATAAATTTCCATTACTCGATGATAAGTTGCGATGATTTGGAGAGAGAGAGAGAGAGAGAGAGAGAGAGAGAGAGAGAGCTTTTCTGTTTAAGTGACATCTTCTATAAGTCGAAGATGGAACTGTTTAAATGACGCGCCGTGGGCTACAGTGAAGCGTGAAATTTTACACACAGAAAAGCAAAATGTTTTCGCTCTTTGAACTTGTATTTAGGTCTTGTACGAGCTAAAACTGTAACTCATATTTCAATAAACTGCTACCCACATTGGATACTATTTTATTAAAACGGCGCTGAAACATTTTTTTGTTCTTTTCTGTTTGTGGATTGCCGCGCTGATACCAACAACCAATCAGAAGTAGGGAAAGCAAAGTGGTGGGGGGTATATCCGCTTTGCGGAAATAGAGAACTTCATGTTGATTTGACTGTGTTGTGTTGACATGCGTTGACATAGAAGGTGTCTTATCAGTGCTGTGAAGACGGGAGTGAAATAACTGCAGTGATAAGTTGACTGAACAATCTTAAACAGCGATTTGCTGCACTGCCGCCACGTTGTTTTTTATTCGTCCGAAACTACCACAAAGATCAGGTACTTTGACAGTTCATGTAATTCAATTACTGATGGCGCGCACATGCCGCATGGTCATGCACTAATTAAATTTGTGAACCTTGTCGACACAAGGTACTGGCTGTCGTGCAGGGAGTGTCAGCATGTTGTTTAACATTTCAAATTTCTTGAATGTTTCTGTATTTAATTTTCGTCGAGTTGTACTTTTTGTTTACGTGGTAAAAAAAGTGGCGAACAAGATAGCTGTGACAAGTGTTTTCATTGTCCTTTCTGTGTGATTTGAATTATTGAGGTCGTTGTCAACATGCCAACTAGCTCTGAGATTGAGAGGGAAATTCGCCAACGCGCAGAGCGTAGAAAACAGGACCTTAGGGATGCTATTGGAGACGGTATTCTAGGAAATAGCAATCTGGCCCATGCTGACAAAGGTTATATTTTACAGAGGTATTTTGTCTGATTTTTTAAATAACAGCCTGGTAGTAACTTCCTTGCAATTCAATTTTCAGTCTCACCATTTAGCAAGAGATTTGATCGACCTGTGACACAGACTGTTATTAAACAAAAACCTTTAATAGAGGGCAAAGAAAACCAGTCACCAACCAGATTGTCTGACTATCTCTATCCAGCTAGACCTGCAAGAAGTGTTTACACTAGTCCACTTATCAAGTCTCACAGACCACCTTTATGGAAAAGTCCTCCTCCGACAATGGCTGACAATGCTTTGGCATCCCCTGGCAGAGAGCCTCCATTAAATGGAAGTGCTGCTGACACCCAGGAAGAATTCATGAACCGTTCCTGTCAGAAAACTCTATTTCAGGTGCGCACACCTCCTTCTGCCCCTCCATTAACTGACAGCTTAAAGAAGCAAATGGCTAAGGACCCTTTTACTACAACCATTTCCTTAACTAAAGATGAAAAACTCTACCCGAGCTTACCTAGAACTGACCATAATGAAGAGCTCAAGTCTCCTAAAGATTTCAAGAACTATGCCAACCACACAACTGCTAGTGCAATTAGAGGTAACGGTCCAAATGTGGTCATGCAAGCTCCAAAAGAAGGCAGCAAAAATGATACAACTTATTCAAAAGCTACATTTTTAGCAGCAAAAACAAAGTTTCAGTCTCTTGAAGCAATATCTGTGGATGACATTGAGGTTTGTTGCACTGTTTACACTTATTTTTTTCATGATATAGTAATGAATGTTCTAATAGTTTTCAATTTTTAGGACACCTATGATATGGACAGGTTTCTTGAAGAAGCACTTGGATCTGCCCTTAAATTGAACTCAACTATGACTGATGAAATGACTGACTTTTCAAATGAAGATTCATTTCACAGTATTGAATCATTTAGAAATCCCTTTTCCATTACCAACGCTAGCACCCTTCGATCATCTATGCGTCTAGTGAAACCATGCACACAGATTGGGCAAATTAATAACGTGAATGATCTAGTTAAAGAAGCTGAAGTGCAACAGCAATTAATGGGTCAGACGAGTAAAGCTCTCACCCTTTGCCGTTCATCCAAGATGTTTTCTTCTTCTGCCTCTCTAGTCGATGCAGAACGTCTTCTTCTTCTTTCAACTTTACGTCACAGAGCTATTCTGGACGAAATCCAAGGGGTGTTACCTTCACCACCTGGAAATACAGAATTTAAAGGAAAACTAAGCGTTTTGGAAGTGTCAGCCCCCCTGAAAGATGATTCTTTGAAATGGTGCAAAACAGAAAATGATAAGGATCTGTGGTTCCTGTGTGTTTTATGTTATCGACAACAAATCCTAGCTTCAGAGGCTGTAGCTTATGAGCCTGGGTCAAAATATGTTACTTTTTCTGGCACTTTGGAATTGTCAGATTTGCCCTCTTCCTTTGATGCATCTTTGCAGATATATTTGCTTCGTACATTCAAACCTCAGGTATAAAGAACACTGAGCTACACCTGATTAAGTTTACCTGATTCACTTGGTTTCAATAATCATTTTATGAATTTGTTTACAGCACTCAGTCCATAAAAGTAGGATCAGTAAAGCTTACCAGATTCTTCGAAGAAGAAAAAAATCTTGTTTGTATTCTGCTGGTTCTGAACAATTGCTCCATATAAGGACACCAGCCTTCGCTCTATCTGGATCTGTACCATTAGATTTGCCACTTGTCAGTAATTCTCAGCCAGTTAACCTTAACTTAGAAAAGGTAAGTAATTGCTGTGTAGAGAGTTAAAACTGTTATGAGCCTCAAATAAGGGAAGCACTTTTACTTCAGGTTCCGATAATGTCACCTCTCCGAGGCAATGTATGGGTTAGATTTGAGACCTCGCTCACAAGTAGTGTCCAGCTCAGTGGATTCCTTAATATTCTGGAGAAAGCTAGAGGAAGCCATGGCCATGCATGGCAAAGAAGATGGTGCCATCTTACTGAAATGCAAATGCGCTTTTGGAATTATCCTGATGACCAAGATGAAAAGGTAGCATCATATGTAGTGAATACCTGGGTTCCCCATCTCAATTTGACAAAACTTATAAAAATTATGTTTATTTTTGAATGTTTCTTTTTTGAAAATCAGGATCCACTGGAAATTATTGACTTAAGGTGGTGCGGTTCAGAAAGGATTGAGGCAGCTCCTCGCCATTTGTGCGCTCGTAATCGCACACTTATGCTTGAGACAACTCGCACTTCTGATCCAAATGACTTTAATTCTACTCTAATGGAATGTAATGTGGATTATACAGTTGTTAGGTAATTATGAGTTTGACATTACCATTTTGCTTGAGAAACTTGTTATTTTCATCATTTTCATTTCCAGGTATTTTCTATCATGTGATTCGGCACAAGAAATGAATGAATGGTCAGCTGTTCTCAACCAAGTGTTGACCTCTATTAAGTCCTGGAATGTAAAGAGACATGACTATTAGACTTGAAGTTGAGATTTCTAGAAACTACATATGTACTAACAAATGTGAAGATCAATGTTCTTAAATTATAACTTTTAAAATTGGATGACATTTCTTTTTGACTTTTCAAAAAATAAAAAACCAAGGCAGTTTGCTGGATACATTATATTGTTGCTCATTAAATGCGTGCCTATCAACTCTTACCTTCTGTCCATCATAGCTGATATATTGAAGATATAAACACTTTAAATGTGAGGTGCCCATGGCTTTTCTCCAAAGGAGAGGAATCTGACACCTCTTTTTGGAACACCTTCCACACGAGAGAGATCTTGAACCATCTCTCCAGAATGTACTATAGGACAAGTATCAGAGTCAAAAAATTCTCCAGGTTGTCCAAACCAAACTGAAATGTGAGGTCGATCCTTAGACCACCTGCGAAACGACTCAATATAATCATTACTGTTAATTATAATTAATTAGAAGCATTACAGTACATAAAGTAAAAGTTGTAACCTTGTCCGTAGTTTATTTTTAATGAAGTTGTTATTGGCTTTTGATGTACACGTTGCAATGTGCAGGAAAAAAAGGAATGGGCACTTTTCCATTGTTGAAGATACATCCTTCTCAATTACGTCACTCATGCCTTGTAAACAGAGTGCTATTCGTCGGATGGTACGGATTTGTTGTAGTGCCATCCATAATTTAGTTGTGGATAAGACATAATTCTGAGTCCAACTGAAAACAGTGTTTTCTAACTAAATCTATCAATTATAAAAAATTCAATGACAACTTTGGGCTGTGGGGCACTTACTGGAAGTCCTCTAAGGCAGAACAAAAAGGAAGAGCATTGTATAGATCTTGAGCGTACACACAGATTGCCTCCGGTCCAAGATCAACAATTTTCAAACTCTTCAATATTTTGCAATCTTTGAAAATCTGTGGACAAGTGACAGATAAAATGAGTCTTGAGAAAAATTGAACTCTTTTGAAAGTAAGAAATTTGTACTTACAGTTGCGAAAAACTTGCCATTTTTAATTGGTAAATTGGCTAAGGTGAGTGATTTTAGATACGCCCAGTTTCTCAGTGATGACAAACTAGGCAAGTCCCACTGTAAATAAATAGGCATCTTGGGAAAAGAGTGGGTTCTGTTCAAGAACAAATGAAAATTAGTGTGACAGCTGTGCGTTCAATGAAACTATGTTAGGAAATACTTACTCTCCTGAAACTCCTATTTCAAACACCTCAACAAGAGGAGTTAAACCAATCATTTTTCTAAATGGCGTTTCTACACCATGTTCCAGATCATCTGTCACTCTGCTTATGCGCTTATTTGATAAACTAGAGGTTGCAGCACCTGGATTAACAGCCAAACCTAAAATATATCGTAAGTGTTATTCCTTCCTGTTTTTTTCCCTTTTGACGAAAAATAGAAAACAATGAGAAATAAACTAACAAGCTAACGATTGTACAGGAAGAGATAAATGCTTCAAGTTTGGGCACACAGAAGCAACCTCGCAAAAACTTGTTGAACATTCTTGATTAGTGCAGCTATTGAGACTTAACTCTCTCAATTGAGTATTTTTTAAAAGAAGAGTATCCTGAGAGAAAATGAAATTTAAAAAAAATAACATGTATTTAACGAGGAAGGTAGAGGTAATGTAGCAAACTTACAGGGCAGAAATCATGAGTTGAGCCACTGTGAAGTGGTAACAAAACGCTTAAATGGTTTAAAGCAGGAAGCATCAAAAAAATTTCTTCAGCATTGGGTCCAAAACTTTCTTTACACCATAGCCTTTCTATTTTAGAGCAGCCAGATAGCACAATTTGAGAAATAGCTTTCCATTCAGTTGTAATTATGTTTTCTAAAGTTAGCATAGCTGTTTTATCTATGAACACCAACAATAGACATTATACAGTAAAGAAAAGAAGCTCCAGCTGTAAATCATGTAAATATATTTACCAAATTCAGAGAGAGATGGCAGCTTTGTGTGCCATATATCTTTGAGCTTTGATTGAACTGTTACTGATGGCCATGAAGGATACGGGTATGAAACAATACTTTCCAAATGATTCAGTGCAATAGTATCATCACTTCTCAAATAGCTAATAGCATGGATATTATTTATCTAATAGGAAAACAACAAACAAAACCAAATTATAATTCAAGAAAACATGCAGTTGAACTTGAATTTTAAGATAAAATAGGAGACTTTACAATAACCTACCCATAGTTCTTTTAAATTTTCACATTTGTTTATTAAATGTACAGAGCGATTTAAGGCTTTATATTCAAAAACACACAGGTACAAAAATTCTAGTCGCTTAAGAGCTACTTCAAGCCCCCCAGGTTTCAAAGTATTCTTCCAGGTCCATGATAATCTCTTCACCTACAAAAATGAAGTTGTTAGGGTTTGTAATGGTAGGAATTTGATGTTTCATATTTGTATATAAAATCCATACCCTAGGCAATGATAATAATAAACTTCTAAGGTGTGGCGCAGAAAGAGTTGTATCTGCGACAAGAACATTCTCCAAATTTCTCAAGCGGGATAGCAAGTCACGTATAAATGATGATGTGAGCCAATAACAGCTAGTTAAGTCAATAGTAATGATGTTTGCAGCCCTTGGTCGGAAAGTCAAAAATGACTTAAAATCCCTTGGCAAATTTGTTTCATAATGGAAGTTGATAACTCTGTAATGTAAAATATGTTGATTTATTTTAAAGTCAAAAAGTGGTGTTTAGATTCCTGAAGACATATATTGATACTGATCTATAAGGGTAAAGAGCTACTAACCGACACAATTTCTGATCACATAAAATGTCATTTAACTTTCGACAGACACGTGAAATTAGCACATAATCTACGCTGGAGCAATAACCCAAAATCATTAACAATATTTCATCAGGAAGGCTTAGAAGTTCTGCCATATTTAAGTGATTTCAGCTAAGAGGGGATAAATGACAAATTAAAACTTTGCAGCGGATAAATAAATTAAAAATAAAGTTGATGGTAAATGCAAGCATACCAGGAAACTTCAAATTGTATTGATGTCAGAAGTGTCCTGAAAAATGATGTAGTTCATGGTGCACATCATCTCATTTTAGAATTAAGTGAAAGAAGCAATAAACGCTGTAAAACTTGACTAGAACTGATAAGATTAATGTAATGTAGAGAATCAGAAGTTACATAAGTTTTGTGTTGACAATCGCATCTTTAACTGCTATTAATCTAATAGCGTGTGTTGTAAATTTGTGGATAATCTTCGTGTGGCAAAATTTCTTGGACTTAACTAGTAGGAATCGAGGCAGCTGAGCTCAGTATCAGCGGGGCCGTGATTGCATGTTTTGGCCAGTCAGCTGTTGTCTGCTTCATCTCGTTGTGGCTCTACTTGTTGTGCGTCTCAAAGTTCACTTCGCGTGTGTAATGTGTCTTTCAGTAACATGAGTCTTGATTTCCCGTTAGTTTTATAACGACTCTCTGCTAGTTGAGCCCATAGACCCCCTGTGCCGTTCAGCAATGTGGGAAATATAGTAAAATTTGTTTAGAGGTTAGCCTTTGTTTTGTTAAACCTTTCCGAGGAGCAGGCACACATTAACCATGGACAGTTTAGAGGAAAGCTTGGAAGATAATACAAAATGTTCTATATCTAGTGGAACGATTGAAAGTCAACTGCCTCGAGCTGGTAAGTTTCAGGATTTTGGCAAGATATCTTGGTGTAGTAAGGGTGCATTGTACCCAAGGATACATTTCTTTTCTTCCCCGTAAAATGATTACATTTTTTTTTTTATACTGCAGGAAACTCTCCTGGTTCAGGACGATTATCAGCAATTTTTTTGGTGATCAACGCTGCTCTTGGAGCTGGCCTTCTGAATTTCCCACAGGCATTTGATCAAGCTGGCGGTATTCTTACTGCCTTAACTGTACAAGCTGTAAGTCTCATTACCAGAATTAACCAGTCTCAAAGCCCAATTCAATTCGTAATTTTATGTTTTTAAAAAAATTTAACTAAACTCTTACAGGTTTTGATAGTTTGGATTGTTGGCGCTCTTCTGATCCTTGCCCATTGTGCTGATAAAGCTGGTGCTCTGACAATTCAAGATGTCCTTCAGGCTGCCTGTGGGAAAACAGGACTAATAACTTGTTCTATCTTAGTTGCCTTGTATTGCTTTGGAACTTGTGTCACATTTCTGATTATTATTGGAGATCAATTTGATCGTGGTAAGTTATAATACAAACATCAGATACTTTTTACATTTGTAGCTCCACATTATACTTACAATGATCTTTCATGATTTGTTTTAGTTTTGCTGACAGTATGGGGCAAAGGATTTTGTCACTTATGGTACCTTGATCGCTCATTTACCATGACCATGAGCTCAGTTATGTTTATTCTTCCATTGTGCTTCTCGAAAAGGATTGATTTTCTTCGCTATGTGAGGTAGGGCTAAATTTGCTAAACAGTCATCAGTGCATTACTATCATGGATCAATGAGTAGTGAGTAGAGAAAAACATCCTCATTTGATGTATCGTTTTATTACAGCTCTGTTGGGGTTATAGCTGTTCTCTATGTTGTTGGCCTAATTGCTTACAAGTACTGCCTAGGAAATTTTGTGCCTGGCCCAATAAAAACTAGCCCCTTGTCATGGACTGATATTTTTCTTGTTGTACCTGCTATATGTTTTGGATATCAGGTAATACTGAATTTTCTTTTTATCTATCTTTTAATTAATTTTTATTTATTTACTAACTTCTTATTGATCTAATCTACATTTTTACTTCGATTGCAGTGTCATGTGAGCATAATACCAATTTACTCATGTCTTCAACACCGCAATCTTCACAATTTCTCTGTTGTGTGTATGTTTGCAGTAGTTTTCTGTGTAGCAGCATACACAATTGCAGGTGTTTGTGGTTACTTGACCTTTGGGTCTCTTGTAACTAGTGATATTTTGGAATCATACAGTGGTGAAAATCCATTTGTGTTGCTTGGTATTGGGGCCATTGCCATTAAAACGTTTACAACATACCCCCTTTTACTATTCTGTGGGAGGTGAGTAGTTAGAAAAGTATACTTCAAGTGTGTAAATTACAGAAGTTTCATTAATTAATTTTCATATGACCATTCCTTCTCATTTTTATAGGGAAGCCATTAGTACAGTTTGGTGTGAACTTTTTGGATCTTCCCAAACAGAAATAGCTTTGACAGAATTCAGGAGACGTGTGACAATTGCATCTTTGTGGTTCATTAGCACACTCCTGATAGCTGTTGTTAGCCCTGACATTGGAGTTGTGATTGATGTGTTGGGCTCCCTGGCTGCTATTTTCATTTTTGTTTTCCCAGGTAAGTAAGGCTCCAAGTTTGGTTTTCCTGATGCTGTTAAATTAATTTATGGTTGTGCTAGTTACAGTTAAAATACTGTACCACTGTTAATTTCTTACTATTTTTTATTTCTTTTCTTAGGTTTATGCCTATTGCAATCAACACTACGCTCTGATCCTGGCCTGTACCTCAATAAGCATCGTTTCCTTGTGCTTGCTGCATTTGCTTTTATTGTGGTTGGAACATTTATGTTTGGTGTTGTTTTGACTCAGGCTATTGAGCGCTTTGCTGATATTTCTACAAATACTCAACGACTCTGTGAATGATGTGTGGTAAAGATTAAGAGCTGTGATAAGTTAAATTTGTAATAGATTAGTATATAATTTGCTTTATACTTTCATTTAATCATATTTTATCCATTAATTTGTTGACTATTTGCGTTTGTTGCCACTGTATTCAGCAGATGATGTTTTTTCCCTTCGTATGTAGTTTAAATTAGAACAAAGGCATGATGCTGGTTCATTTGCTTGCCTATATTAATTAGTTTATGATCCTTCTAGTTTTTGTAAGTATAAGCATCTGTGATGATTGTAGCAATCCTCTGAAATGTCAGGGCACCTTATTTTTTGCATAATATATTGTTGTCAACATGAAAGAGGTTTGACGAGACAAATGTTTGTCTAGCTTGTACTTTCTAGTCACTTGTGGAAGTGAATTCTCTCTTTAAGTAAATCATTCCAAGGTGTTAGGTATATACAGCATCTTCCCTATGATGTGCCAATAGCACTATCCTTAAAAAAGAAAAGGACTGACTGAAAAAAATAAACATTATCAACTTCTAATTTTTTTTTATTGATTACGGCTGTCATACAAACAGACATTTCCCAAGACGGTGTACAGGGAAGATAAAGGGAGAGGATATGTGAACATTAAAGATACAAAGCTAGAATAGCAGCATAGTGCTGTAAATTAAAACAAAATAGAAGAATGATGGGAGGACATTGAAAATATACAAGTTCAGGAAACATCCTCAAAACACGGACTTGTATTTTGTAATGAAGATACAGTCAAACAGTTACATATCCACTGCATTTGATTAAATCGGTTCTACAACCCCAAAAACATACAAAACTATATAAACATTAACCTACAGTTACATATTTGACTCCAACATACAAAGGAGTATTTGTACTTCTCGCGCATCTTTGGGCGACCAACTTGCCCACCAAGTACATTCTTACTTACAAAATGTGCAAAAATATCCTGCAGTCATATTTTCAGTAATAGCAATTAAGAACCTAAAACAAACAAAGAAGAACAGCGTACATCAACATTTTCACTTCACATGAGATTAAAAACAGCCAACAATTCCAAAATGATGTGATAAAATGAAGACACTGCGGTAAAGAAAGGTGGGCAGAAGTCAACACAGGCTATCACTAGTCAGACTTTCAAGACCATAGGTCAAATTCTTAACAAAGTAAAATACAAAGTCAAGACATTGCAGATTAAATAAAGAACAAACTGATTACAATAGAATAAACACCGCCGAACCCCTAGGAGCAAATATCAAGCTTAATTGCGTTCTATAATCCTCACAGATAGAGAAAAAAAATTCAAGCATGGGGGCCGATGATCACACACTGGCTAGATGAACAATGATCTTTGGCTTTCTAAACTAACTGGGTTACATTATGTACATCCACTCGTTAACAGGGAAGTGGGTGATATGAGGTTCCACAAAAAGCAAATATGAATTGCTTTCAAAATAAATAAAAATAAATTTTGGCAGTTAGCTCTTAAAAAGACATACATTTAAGTAATGCTGACTCCTCAAATTTTCACCCATCAGTGTGAACACAGAACTGATATATACAGGAATAGATTTTGCAAGAAGCAAAATATACTCATAACTACATATACCTGATATAACATTTTAGTCATATATAACACAGAATGATATAAATAAAGACTCATTTATTGTAAAATAAATAAATATTTGAAACAAACCCACAAGGAATTACACATTGCATAGGGAAGCAACGCTAACTAGAAATGATGGGATGAGATATAATGAGATCAATGATCAATATCTAGGACGGATGAATGCTCAAAGAATTCTGGGAGCAGACCGATCATTAACACCCCCCGTCTTTTTCAGTGGTTTGCCACGCTTAATCTGATCCATTAACGAATCATGACAGGTGGCTGGGTCAGGCGCCGTGCGCATGTTGATCCACTGCCTCACCCTGCTGGCCTTCTGCTGTTGCTGCTGCTGGTGCTGGGCCTGTTGCTGATGAGACAGTCTCGCGGTGAGCGACTCCCTGAAGCTTTGTCCCATCCGAGGGGACCCAGTGGCGCCACCCAGGGGCTGCAGATCCTCCGAGTGGCGCCGGGAGTGGCGAGGACTCAGGGTGGGGCCCAGCTTGGCGCTGAGAGCCGCGATAAAGTTGGAGCCCACGCCCCCAACGCCGCCGCCACCACCGCCCGCGGCCGGCTGGCCTTCCCCGGCCTTGCGCTCGGCGCTCTGGGAGCGCAGGCTGTGCGTCCGCCGCACGGACACGGGGCTCGCGGGCTGGTGCTTGAGCTCCGTCAGGGTCCTCACGGCGTCCGCCACGCTCGGGAGCCCGTCGCTCTCCGCCGTCTTGTTGGGCTGCGCCACCGGGATGCTGATGCCCGAGGCCGAGGTGCGCATGAGCTCGGGCCCCGTGAAGCAGCCGCCCGCGCCGGCGCGCAGGGCCTCCACCGCCGTCATCCTCCCCAGCGACGAGGTGCGCTGCTGCTGCGGCTGCCCGACCACGCCCGCGGCGCTCAGCTTCACGTTCTTCATGTTGGGGTTGGAGGACTGCTTCTTGATCGAAGCCATCAGCTTGGCGTTCTGCGCAATCACGCTGTTGAAAGCCGTCGAGTTGGCGGGATTGTTGCCAAGCTTCTCCTTGAGCTCCGAGGCCACCTTCCGGACGGTGCCGTGGGGGAGGAGGCCGTCGTCCAGGTTGTGGTGGTCGTCGTGGTTCTCGGGGTCCAGCAGGTAGGCGGGCGGCGGCGGAAGGTTCTCCATGCTGCCAGCCTTGGCGATGTGCTGCGGGGGCTGGGCGGGCGGTGCGGGGGCCGGGGCGGCCGGCGGGGGCGCGCCCTGACTCGTCAACCCAGCCGTGGAGATGGACGAGGTCCGACGCGTCGGTGGGGGTGGTTTAGGACCCTGATTGGAGCCTCGTCGCAGGAGCGTACCGCCTCGGCCCATGGCGTACCCTGACGGACACAAGACAGGTTCCAGTTGCAGTCCATGACACACAAGGTAACGGGCAAATCGGTAGAACTGGTCCGTGGACACAATTTAAATAAATTTTTTTAAAAAAATACTGGGATTCATACCTTCAAGATGATTTCCATCATCAGTCATTGCAATGGCCGTTTGACTCCCATATCCACTACTGGATTCTAAGGAACTTTCACTCGTACTACCATCTCGCTCTGGACCATCAACCTGCACAACACAGTAAGAAGTATTTAGAGGCAAAATCACATTTAAATTTGGAGGTATGTTCTTAGCATTAAAATACTTACTTTGTCTGGAGTATCATTTGATACCATTTCTGGTGGTGGTGGTGGCAAATAAGTCATTTCTTGCGCTTTGGAAGCCGCCATGCTTGCCAATTCATGCATATTTACGTAAGTTGGAATTTGATTCTCTGCTACAGAAAAGAAATCAGAATTAATAATTAATTAGTTTAAATTGAAGGAAAAGTGCATGTGAGTTCCAATGTATATTTACCTCGAAGATGCTGTGTGTGTGGGTTGGACGACAAAGCATTTGGAACACATCCAGCAGAACCTGAAGTCTTTGCAGGGACAGATGGCCTCTCCAAAGAGGAATGGCGCTGAGGAATGACTGGAGGTCGGGCATAAATTGGTTGAGGCTTGGGTGATGGTAAAGGACTAATACCATTTGGGTCGTTCAGAGCGGCATAAATTGGTTGGGGGCTGCCACTGCTGCAGTCAGACCGTGAGCCATAAATAGGCTGAGAATTGACGATTTCTGATCGAGAAGCATAAATAGGCTGTGGGCTGGCTGTTCCACACTCAGAACGTGTTGCATAAATGGGCTGGGCTATGCCACACTCATTGCGAGTTGCATAGATGGGTTGAGGACTGCTGTGAGCTACAGGAGTGGCAGGTGAGCCAGCTGTAGCACCACTACTCTCAGCTGAGCCAGAGGCAGATCCTGACCCTGAAACAGACCCTGACACAGGGCTAACTGGCTGAGAGTGGCTCAAGTTGTTTTCCGGTGCATGAAAAGTATACACTGTCAAGGGAGGGCGTTGATGACCTCGTTCGTATGCTGTAGAAGAAAACAACAAGGTAGAAATTTGTTTGTTAAGTTCCTTCAGTAAATCAACTACCGGTATGTTATTATTGACTAACCTGAGGAAATTGTATGTGGTCGCTCATTAAGAATTGCTGAAGCTGCTCTCTCAAACTGCAAAGTTTCCTGCAGGTTGGGCCAAGTTGCTGTGTTGTTTTGATTTGGCAGTAGTGCATGAGGGGTTGTGGGAGTTGAACCATTGCTACTACCACCACTGTGTTCTGACATATTGGATGCCTGCAAATGAATAAAACTAGATTAAATAAAAGCATTGGTATAAAATAAAGATCAAATCTACAAAATCAAGCTTGGGAAACATGTACAAAACTCTTGTTACCTTACTTTGAGAAAAATTGTCAGCTTATTTAACTCATTACCTGGTTACTTCTAGCTAGTTGTAAACCATCTTGAGATGTAAATCCCGAGTCTTGTGATGAAACACTTGAAAGGTGCAGAGTACCGCCCAGCACACTACTTCTCAAGGTACTGCTCCGACCAGAGGGCAGCGGCCGCTACATAATACCATGCAAAACAAGAGTGCAAGCTACAGTATGCGAAGAATACTAAATCTAAAAATACAAATAAAGCTGAAACAGGGCAATTATTATGATGACTGAGTCAATGAAACAACTGGGTGCTAGAAAATTTTAGAGATGGGAACACTCAGAAATGAAACTTACTAATTAGATAGGATTTGACTGCTCTAAAGTGAACGAGATGAGGAAAGCAAACCAAAAAACACACAAAGAAATACTACAGAAAACACAGCATGTCCAACATTAATAAATTTTATGTGTGAAGCTGAGTTGATAGAGACAACCTCACAAAATAATATGACTATCTACATTAAAGAAATTACTTTAATATGCATCTACGGTTGAAATCTTTCTTTCCTATAAAATTACCTCGCAAGGTTCTGCATCTTGACCTTTTCCCGGCTGATAGCATAGGAAAGGAACACAAATTTGCAATGTAAAATTGAACCATGAAATGTCTTTGCCTTCACAATATGGTATACGTTTTCTTTTGTACAAACCTGAGAAAGCGATCTATGCCAGTAATGATGCGAAGGGGAATGGTGAGACTTTGTAGATCCAGAGCTTGATGAGTTGAGGGAAGAAATAGAGCACATCGACGATTTACGAGAACCGAGAGACGATGGACTTGACGGGGGGGTTTGGAATGTCCACGAACTTTCTGAACCTTTCAGGTCAGCAATAACTTGTTCACTAGCAGGGGGAAGGGTAAGAGGATCTGATGTATGTTTATCTAAGACATCAACAACTTCTTGGAGATGACCCATTTCAGATAACATAGCAACCTCTTCATTCTGCAAAGCACATAAATCAAAATTATTTTCTAAAACAATTACAGCTTTTTTCCTTTACATTTTTTTGGGACTATTTACAGCAATTAGTAAAAGTAGTCTGACTTACCACAACTGGTTTAAGGAAAGTGGCAAAGGTACAAAACCTAGCACGCTCCTCAATAAGTGCAGCTCTGACTGCCTGCTTTTCAGCATGTTCTAGCAAATGCCTGCGTTCTGTTACATCAGCTAAACAACTCTCTACCCTCTTAGCTAAGTCTCCACCACAACCTTTACGTGCCTTCTTTTGCAATCTCAAGGTATCGGTTGACCTCTTTTTCAATTCTGATTTAGCTCTTTTATATTCTGGAAACAAAGACAAACATCAGGCATATTCGAATGATAACTGAAAAATAAACTACACAGAGGCACACACAAGTAAATACCTTTGGCATGATCTTTGTCTAAATTGATAACAGTCTTCTTCCAGTCCTCTAATTTCTCTTGGAGAGGTATCACAAGACAGTCCATAATTGCTCTGAAAATGAGAAAGATGATCAGATAAATGAGTAAGATTGTCGCCTTTACAACACTAATTGGCGGCATTCATGCGGGTGAGGGCTGACGCTGGTGATGCTTACGTTGAAAAAGTCTTCATCCGCGCCTCGACGGCCTTGTGCCGGAGACAGATCCTCGTCAACGCCGTGCCGATTTCTTTGGTCGCACCTGCACAGAAAGATCAACGGGCGGGATTACGAACATATTCCAGAGCCGGCGAGCTCACTCAGAGACACCCCAACACTTCAATAGGGGTTCGCCAGTGCGGCACTCCACCACCACCACCCACCCACCCCTCAGCACTCCAACCGGAGACACCTTTTCCACCCCGACCTTCGCCCCTCCCTCGGGCCCGGCCTCTCTCCCTCCCCTCCCCGCCAGCAGCCGCAAGAGGCACACCGAGTGGACTCGGGCGCGCCGCGCACCCCGGCGAGACCGTAATACACACCCAGAGAGCGTGGCAGTTGAGACCGAGACCCATCTGCAATTCAGACACACCGTCATGTCATTACCATCATGAACCCTGCCCAGCCAGGCCCCCGACCACTTGCACCATGTCCGCCGGGCCGCAGGTTCATCATCTCTCCACCTCCATTCACGCCGCCAGCGTCCGCACACCGGCCCCCGGAGCCCTCCACCACCGCCTGCCCCGTCAGGACAGTTCATAAACGAGTCGACTGACTGGGGTCGTGTCGTGTCGCGTCGTGCGCAGCCCTGGCGCAGCCAGGCAGTCTGGGCGGCTCGGCGCCGTCACCCTTTCACAGCATTTCACATGCACGCCCGGGGCTGTGCGCCCCGCCCTGCTGCGCCCGCCCCGCCCCCGCCCCGCCACCCCCAGCCGGGTGATAATATATGCGCCCCTGCTCGGGGGATGGCGCGGGGCGCGGGGTGGCGGGGAGTAGTGCGGGAGTCTTCGCTAGGTGCCATGAAGGTCGAGCTTGACGGTGGCATGGCGGGGAGGAGAATAAGCCGAGGCCTTACGAGCAGTCTACTTGCCTCCTCCCCTTCGAGACGCGCCCGCCCCGCCACCCCCAGCACTGCTGCCTCGCAGCCACCCAAGCAAGCACGGGGCGCGGGGGAGGCAGTGCGGCCGCCAGGCTTTGGCAGGCGCGGCGCAGGGGAGTCAGCTGAGGCTCCTGGAAGTCATGCCCCCCAGGGTCCAGGACGTGGCGGGGACCTGGAGCTCGGCAGGGCAGGGCCGCGGCCGGCAGCCAGCTCCAGCAGCTCGGCGCTCACGGAGGAATCCCTTGGCCCGGCCGGCACGTGCCAGGGGTGCCGGGCAGCCGGACGAGCCGAGTCGAGCCGCGAGCCGAGCCGGCCGGGCCTCGCGGATCAATAGCAGCCGGGCGTGGCGAGGCGGCGCGGCGGGGGCGTAGGATCGAGGGGTGGAGTGGAGAGGCGAGGGGGTGGCTGCAGGCGGAGGGGTGCTCCGCGCTCCACCCGACCCTGCCCGGCCCTGCCCGGCGGCACGACCTCAGAGAGCACATGAGGCTCTTTACGGGCCAGCCCCAGCCGCCACTGCTCTAGGCAGTCGGGCAGCCTCCAGACCATCACGACCTTGTACACGACCTCTGACGACCCGCGCCGACCCCGCGCCCCGCCCCGGGGGCCCAAGCCAAGTGCCACAAGCAGCCCCCTCGGCCCAACCGGCCCCGACACCGGCCGCCGGCGGCGAGAGGGGGTGCCTTCGATCAAAGACCTTACCCCCTCGTCTCCCCCGTCCACTCCGCCGCCCTCGCCGCCCTCCACTGCCGGGGAACGCGCCGCCCAACGCCTCTCACCGCCACGCGCTGCCACGCCACGCCTAGGCGCGCCTCCACGAGATATTACACTCAACCCCCCGCCGTTTTTCAAGAGGGGCAACGCGACCCAAAACTTTGGCGAATTACTTTTTCACAGCAAAAAGCAGGCGCGCGCGCCCCGGCCTCGCCGGCTGGCGCTGCGCGTCCTCCAGTATACAGGGCCCTTTCCCGGAATGGCACATCTACAAGTCACTGTGATAGACGAGATACGCTCATGTTATTCAAAACCACCCCCTCCCTCCCCGGCCCGCCACTTCCTCATCCTCCCCCCAAATGCAGTGCGTCGACAGGCTTATTTGTCCCCCCGTTTTATAGCGAAGCGTTTGGCACCAGCGCCTGCCACGCCACGCCACCGCTCGCGGGTCCACCACGCACCGCACCGCAACGCCACGCCACCGGGGGGAAGCCCAACAAACAATACGCCATAGGCAGGCAGCCCGTCCGCCACACGCAAGTCTATATAACACTACCAAAACCAGCCCAGCCCGCCAGCCCCTTTACGGTCGCCCCCTTCACCACCACCGCCTCCCCCTCCTCTCTTCCCTTTCACACACAATCGACCCCGCGGTAAGTCCACAACAACCCGTCGCCCCGATATGCCCACGGCCAACATCGACACGAGTCTACATTCAGCGAGCCGTGGGCTTGGCGTGGCGTGGCGGTCCCCGCAGGGGCTACCGACACCGACCGACCGACCGACCGCGGGCCACCGACTCTAGGCGCGTGCTGTTTGGAATCTGGTGGATATTTTCAGTCCCGAGAAGCATTGGGCGTTGTGCGTGCGCTGCACGCGGCGGAACCCCGCGGCTGGCCGCCACTGCCCCCCTCCCCCACATTTCCCCCTGCTTTTCCACATCGCGCGCCAAGAAAAACACGGCATTTTACAACCCG